GTAATCAAGAGTTCCATGCTCTTATCGATAGGGTATGTAATGTGGCATTCTGATGTAATTAGTTTTCTACTTGTTTCAGAGCTCCAAATATAGACTTAGGAATCTTTATCGGTATTGTGATGTACAGATTTTTTCATTCCTGTTCTTATTGGCTCCTTTTGAGCTTTTGGTGATTGTGCCCATGCGGGTACCTGTGGATGAGAGCCCAGTTTTCCTTCTGTATCAGGATTGGGCATTGGGTCTCATTTTCCTTAAGATTTGGACTAGACTGGTAAGTAATTTTACCACCATTAACTATGTGCAGCTGATTTTTTTTATCGTGATGTAATTAATTAACCTCTGGTTTTTGCAGTACACTTCTATTTTTTACTATTTTGTAATTATTAGATTATTCCCCACAAGGTCTAAATATGTTTCTATATGCACAGGTTATGCTGGATCATATGATGCCATTGGTAGACGAAAGCTGGCGAGAAAAGTTAGAAAGGGTGAGAGAAGATGGCTTTCTAGACTGCAGGGCCTTTGGGTGTTGCGAGATTGTATGTCCCATTATAATGAAGCTGTTGACAGCCTTGTGTGTACCTTACGTACTAGCCCGAGGGGTGTTTCCAGTGCTTGGCTACCCATTAGTAGTCAATTCAGCCGTCTACCGTTTCGCATGGCTAGGATGCCTTTGCTTCAGCTGCTTGTGCTTTTGTGCAAACAGATTCCATGTCTGGTTCACCAACCTCCACAATTCTATAAGGGATGACCGATATCTTATCGGTCGTCGACTTCATAATTTTGGGGAGAACTCGGAAGAGAATCAAAGTGAGGTAGGGGCCTCCTTGGAAACACAGATCTATAATCTGCATTAAACTGCAATAATCCGGCATGACCGAGAAGCAGATGGGGGACTGAGACTAAGGCGTGCTAATTAAAATGAGGCTGATGATAATATTGTTCGATTGCTTCGAAAGCTTGTATGCATTATTGACAAGCTGGTGTACAAGGACGATGTAGGTAGTGTTCTAAATGTGGCCAATGCAGTACTGTGATTTTTGCATAGAATACATCAACTTTGCAATTAGGGGTTTGTATTAAAAACTCAGTATGTTAGAAGATAATGAATTGTCATTTTACATTAAATGGCGTGCCTTTGTCCTCTCTACCCAGTATATTTCATTTGTTGAGATCTATGTTATCAAAAATAGGGTTAATAAAATTCGACTTAACTCAAAAAATTGATACTCGACTTGAATTGATTTAAGTTGTAATTTTATAAACTCGACTTGAAAAAATTAAGTTCAAATCGAGTTGTAAAATACAATTTGAATAACTCAAACAGTAACTTGAAATTTTTAGTAATTATAGATTGATTTTTAAGTTTGAGTTGAATCTCTCAACTCTATATGATATGTATATCACATATGAAAAAAAATTATGAAGAAATATATATGTATTGTATATAGTTATAAAAAATTATTTAAATGAAATTAAATAATAATATAATATAATGAATTTTATAATTAAATTCAAATAGAAATTCAAAAATTCAACTTTACTCAAATTTATAAATTCAAATCGACTCGAAAAAAAATTTAACTAACTTCGAGTTATAATGACTTGTCAACTAAATAACTCGAAAAAAAAATTTATTCCATCAACTCAAAAGTTTACTCAACTCGATCGAATGTTCACCTAATCAGAAATAGTATCTCTTCAATAATTTTTGAACTTGATGACACTAACGATCTATTCAGCAAATACTAAATCGAATAATCTTATTATAGTAACTTTAAAATAGGAGCTAATACATCAATTCCTAAAAATATTATACTCTCCAATGAACCATATTAAATCATATTTAGGTTCTAATTTCCGTTCCACGTACTGAACCGATCCATGTTCCACAACAGTGTCTGAGTGAGGCATCTCCTTGACTACATGCAAGAAAAAATAGCATGCAGTATAGAAAGAAGCTCACTACTCCATTAAGAATCAGCTTAACGCTGCTTTTGAAAGCAATTCAAACTAAAGTAAACATCAATCTGAATAATGTGTACACGATGAATCTCCAAGATTATTCACCCAAAACAGAAAAAATTCAATCCCAAAGACAGCGGTATGATGCATAAAATGCATACTCTGTCACATAGCCACAAATTATGAAACATAGAAGTGTGGTATTTAAGTTCCAAAAACTGAAAAAGTATAGAATCAAACCAACAACGAAGAAAGCAACTAGCTTTGAACTCATAGGAGGCCATGACAACGGTGTTCAAGGAGAAAACTTCAGCAAGTTGTCAAATCAGGAGACAAGGTTGTCCCTTAAAACAATGAAGCCAATTGATCAGCAGCAATGCCACCAGTCTGCTGCTGCTGAGTAACGGTCCTAAGAACCTCCATTGCTTCAGCAACCTTGGCTTTCAGAGCTTCTGGGGACTCGAGCAAGTGCAGAACCTCAGTTGATCCATCTCTAGAAGATCCCTGTTACTTTAGCTGCTGCATCAGGCTCCAGCTGTTCAACAAGTGGATAGAGATTTTCTCCCAGCATCTACACATATTTACCCAATGTAAAAATTTCAGTTAACCGGAATAGTTGAAGTTAGAATATAGCTTTAGAAGGAAATTACATGTTCAAATATACATATATTATGGTATGCCCTTCATAATTTTTGTAATGAATGCCTTGAAAATTGAATAAAAGCACAAGTATATAGGACAGAGAAGTAGCAAACAAAAAGACAAAGCAGTGCATACCGTTCTCTGCTGATCTGGAGTTGCATTTGCAAGGGCTGTGGCCAAGGCTCCTACTGGAATTGGCTGAGAAAGTGACGCGTCACGCATTGGCATTCCACCCATATCATATGGAACAGAAAGCATGCCTCCAGCAACATTAGACATTGAAACATCAGGTACACGCCCTTGTGGATACGATAGACCCGTCCTCGGGGTAACATCTGGCATTTAAATGAACCATCAGATGAAGTATTTACAAGATATGACAAATTTATCGAAGATATTACAAAATCCAAAGTGTTTAAAAACCTGCTGCATCAATGGAACTGGCTGCTGACTTTGCTGAACAGCCCAGACCTTCTGCCACCAGGACGCTGACCCTGCTGGCCTTGCTGAACCATTGGTACAAAGTAATTTGGCATGGGAGCCACCAGGCCTCATACCAGGGACAAGCTGCTGTTGATATCCAAATCCAGGCTGACAAAAGAAAAACCAATAAACGAGACCATAAATTTCTAAAGAAGATATACAAATGATATTACATCTAATTCAAGAGGCTAAATATACCTCATAATACTAACAATACCAAGCAAGAAATGCAAAATAAATAACTACCTGAGGAACATAGTCGGAGGCCCTTGACCATAGAATATTTGCTGCCCAAGACCTGGACCACCAAGTGGGTACATTGGCGTGAGCAGCTGAAGGTGTTAGAGAAATCGGTCGGATTTGAGAAAACTGAGCCTGTAAAAGGTGCAGCACATGCATTAGTAAAATAAAGAATCAAAACCATATTACAGTCCACCTCAAAGCAAATATCAAGCCATACCTGTAACCTAGCTCTCCTCTCTTCCTTTTTTTGAGCTAGTGCAACATAGAGAGGTTTGCTGACAACCATTTTGCCATTCATCTCCGCAAGCTGTCATAGCAGGGGGAAAGAGAAACTATTAGCTTAAGATAAGATCATGAGTAGGGACAACATTACCAACTTACAGCTTTGGATGCTTCTTCTGGAGTTGAAAATGCAACAAACCCTGATCCTTTACTAACTCCATTAGGATCTCTCGTAACCTGTTACATTTGAATGAACGGCTTCAGTCAACTAAATACAAGAATTGAGCAAATTGATCTAACATTACTTCCATGAAACATGCTAACCTTGCATGATGTTATGGTACCATATTGAGAGAAAAGCTCTTTAAGTTTTTCATCTATGCTGTCATCCAAATTCTTAATATACAGGTTTGCTCCTTGAAATTTATCTGCTGCCTCTTTCATTGACTGCTCAAATCGAAGTTTTCAGATCAACCTCCCTTTCAGATTTCTTTTGAGCTTTCCCAACATACCATTCCTTGTCATCAAATTTCTTTCCATTTAGAGACACAGCTCTAGCAGCATCATCTGCATTCTCGAAGTTGACAAACCCAAAGCCCTTGGATTTTCCATCCGATTCTCTCATCACCACAGCACTAGTGATTAGACCAAATTCACCAAAAATGGTTTTCAAATCTTCATCGCTCGTGGATTCTGAGAGATTCTTTACATAGATATTGTTAAATTTTACATTGCTAATAGAACTGTCCCTTTCCTGTTTGCGAACAAAGGGGCCCACATAGACTTGTGTATCGTTATAGCATACCATTCAACTTCTCTATTGCCTTTGGGCAGATTCCTCATTGTCAAATTGAACAAAGCCATAACCTTTTGACTGGCCGGAGGCATCTGTGGCTACCTTGCAAGAGAGAATGTTCCCAAATGCAGAAAATGTATCATCCAAAGCTTTGTGGTCGATCCCCTTATCTAAATTCTGCCAGATTCAACAAGCATGATACACAAACATAAAATAAACCATATGAGATTTCTGAAGCACAGACTTAAAAAACAAATCGGCATACAGAACCACATGATTGTCAACATTTATTACCTTGATAAAAATATTCCCAGCCCCACTTTACGAATACTAGGATCACGATTAGAATACATGATCCTGATAGGCTTCCCATTCAGAGGAGTGAAGTTCAGAAGGTCCAATGCCCTTGCAGCTGTATATAGACGGAAGAATATAACATGCAATATAATGAGTATTTATACTATGGATCAATGGAGGCTAACATTAGTAATGTTCTTTTAAAATAATATGAATCAACATGAAGAGTCACAGCTTCAGTTGGTCTCCATCTTGCTGATGGAGACCAACTTTGTAAATAATTTACAAGGAAGACTGAGAAGATAAAGTATATGCATTTTTTAAGCAAGGGAATACTACACATTACTCTTTACCATTGGGCTAGGATCTCACATTCTGCTGGTTTTGTCATCATATACTTTCTCCTTTTCGGTCAATATCACAAAATATTTAACATCAAATTTCTTTCTTTCTTGCCTATAGTTATCTCACAAATTTCAGGGCACCCAAAAAGTTTCAAAAAAAATTACTGCATGACATCTATGGGGTTGATACGGGAAGATGCAGAAATGAACAAGAACAATAAATCCCGAATAAATACATGATATTATTCACACTCACTGTTAAGTATATAGTTCACTTGGTATAAAACAAGGTTAAACAAAATTCCAGACTGCTTGTTACATAAGAATTCAAGCCAATCGAAGATGAAACCATGTTTGCTAAGAAGTAAAAGAGAGAGTTTTCAAGTAAAGAAGTAATCATCAATGAAAGTGCTTAAGAAGAACAACCTTTACTTGGAGAACACACTCGAAACCTACATCTTCATTTCCTGCCTAGATTAGCTTGAATATATAAATGTGAACTTGAAAGAACTTATTGGGAAATAGATATAAATAATCTTAAAAGGACAAAATGAGTATTAAATTTATACAAAATCGCTAATATGAAGGGCACCTTAACACCGTAACTATTCTACTCTCTGTATCAACACCATCCACTTTATCCGAACTAAATGAAAAGGCAATTGATTATACTTATAACACCATCCAAATACTGAGCAAAGCGATAATCCATTATTAAACAAGGCAGATAAAGGGAGTAAATACCATGGAATCTAAGTTAAACAAAACAAAAACGACATATAATCAGACTAAACTGACCATCTTGAGGATTCCATAGTTGACATAACCATAACCGAGAGACCTCCGGGTTGACAAATCCTTGCAAACCCGAACCGTAAGCACTTGACCCATCTGGGCAAAGTACTCATAAAGCTGAGTTTCCGTCACACTTGGATCCAGGTCCCCAACATAAAGCGACGTAGGTACGAACTGGTTGTTCCCTCCTCCAGCTCCATTGTTGGCACTCCTATTTTGCCCCTGAACTTGAACTTGCGCCATCTCCCTAAAACGCGGCTAAAACACACCGATAAAAAAACCCTTCTTTCAAGTTTTTTTTTCTTTTTGGGTTTTTTCTTCCCTCTCCTCTTGTTATTAATCAATAAAGCCTAGAGAGTCAACAAATGAAACAAACTAAAATCCCAAGTGCTTCGATAAACCTTGCTAAAGAGACAAACTTTTTTTCTTTTGTAAAAATTCTCTTTTTTTTGGTTTTTTTAATGGAGGAGAGGGAAGGAAGAAGAAATGGTATTTTACCGCCGGCTAAGTGGAGGCAGCGGCGCGTGAGAAAATAATTGATAAAAGAAAAGGATAGGTTTTGAAGTAGTAGGCAGCTACCGCAATACACAATGAAAAAAAGGGTAAATATAAGTTGGAAGGCTTGTTTTGTTTTTGGAATGAAACCCTAAGATGGAAGAGATCTCCGCCGTTGGATTAGGTTTCGGAGAGCTTCATTTGTGGGACTCAGCACCCAGATACGGAGGTAAGAAAAAACTGCCAACGGTAGATTCCTGGGGGCGGATCACGTGCAGCAAACGTACGGACTCGTGCATCCACCACGGCCTTATGTACTCTCCATTTTACCTTTCATATTAGATTATGTTGCACTCTAAATACAATAATTCTTCTCTATTGTATTCATCTATTTCACCTTTTGTATTTTGTTGGACTTGTGATCTGTGATAGCTTTGGTTATAAATTGAAATTGGAAAACAACTATATTAAGATCTCTTTTGTTTTATATTGTTTTTAAATAAAAAATTTTAATCAATTACATGGCTGAATTTACGAGATAATGTTGTGAGAAAAAAAAAATTCACGAGATAACGCGTTCCAACAATTAATTGTTGAGATAGGGTATTTGCTACAGTTCGAATGAAGGTCGCCGGGTGTTCTGGGCGACCAATGAAGGTCGCCAGGTGATCCATGGGAGAAACAATCAAACAATAATTGTTTGGGTTAAATGCAAATTTGGTCCTCACAACTTTACACTCTCATACGTGTGTTTAATATTTAGGGGATAATAGCATTTTCGTCCCTATGCTTTGTAATCTATTTGTTTAATCATTTAGTGACATTTTTAATGTTTTGTTTCAGGCATGTATATTTTAATAATTATATTTTAGTCACTGTTTATTATGTCAAGTTTGTGTATGCTTCATTTTGATCATAATATTTTTAGTTATTTCATTTTAATCACTGATTTCATGTGTTTTATATATTTTCCTTAATTTTGAAATTGGCCATGAAATTTGTAAACATTTTATTTTAGCCATGTTTAGTATTTATGTTTAATTATAATTTAGTCATACATGTTCTTGTTTATCCGACGAGGCCATCCAAAAGCGAGAGCATCCGAGCCATCCGACCGAGCCATCCGAACGAGCTATGCGGGGCAACCGAGCGAGCTATGCGAGGGAATCCGACCTACCCTCGCTCGGTTGCCCTCGGATTCCCTCGCATAGCTCGCTCGGTTGCCCTCGAATGCCCTCGCATAGCTCGTTCGGATGGCCTCGGATGCTTCGGATGGCCTGGATGGCCTCGGATGCCTGGAAGGTCGCCCGGAAGGTATGGCGACCTACGACCAACACTGTGGATTTCACCCTATTTGAGCAATTAATCTTGGGAGTACGTTATATCGTTAAATAAAAAAATTCGAGAACATTATCTCGAAAGTTTGCCAATTACATCAATTCGTTATATTTTAGTCATTGAGTCATTGATTCTAATTAGTTTATTAACATGTTACGAAATTTTAACTACTCTTTTATCTCTTTGTTTTATTTTTTAAGTCCATTTTGATTTTGCATATAAGAACAAGAATTTCCATGTGCAGTGGTCCAAAGAGGATGTCAACTCAAAATTGTTTAATCATAGAGGGAAAATCCGTAAAGAAGATGGGATTCCTCAAAAGTTGTAGATTTTATTAGAGTTATAAATCAAATGATTTGATTGCCTTTAGAACTACAATTGAAGAAGAGGGTGATGATATGGATGAGCCAATGTTTTCTCCCTAACGAGCTGCAACAATTCTATAGCATTTTCTACCTCTGGTGAACTAAACAGGTTTTTGAACTATGCCACAACATACAATGACTCTCACTTGATGTTGCAGTTGCAATCTCCCATTGGAGTTCATGCGCGTCAGAATATTAACCAGCAGCTCCGCGCAAGCTACCCTACAAATATACCGTTCTCTTTCGTGAGGGCATCTCCATCCTTTGAGATTGATCCCTTTGCAGCTGCAGTTTTAAGTTCAAGGTTAGTTTCCTTTGTCGTTTGCATTGTTGTATATCGTCATTCAGGGTTTTCTCCGTCGGCTTCTTCAGTAAGTGCAATGCCCTCTAACCTATCAGATTAGGGTTCCTCCGATGACAAACTAGACTGAGACATATAAAGAGAACGACTAACCACTTAATAAGATATAATAAGGAGATATTATTTTATTTTAAAATATATAATAAAATCATCAATTAAACCTATTTTTAAAAGTTCATTTAATTATACAATTCACATATGAAGGAAAAAAATTATAACTGAAATACCTTATACAATACACAAGATATCAAAAAATAAATGAAGATAGAAATTGTATACAATATACACTTTATCAAAATTTATATAAATTAAATTATTATCATTAATATGAATGCATTATGATATAAATTTATATTTTTGGTGTACTTATCTTTAAAGGAATAATGATAAATTTATTATTACAATTTAATTTTAAATGATTCTTAAGAGTTTTAGACTGTATTTATGAAATTTGAGACAATTTTAGATGAAACGAACTCTAAAATTACATTCAAGTGGTCAAAAAGGAGTAAATTAATAAGCAACGATCGATGGTGGGGACTCTAACATTATTGAAGGTTAAATTATATTTATCTAAACTTTAAAGGTCAAAATAATATTTTATCTAAAGTTTAAGATTAAATTAGTTATGTTTAAAATATAAAAGTCAAGTTAAAATGTAGTCATTTTAACTATTGTGTCACGCCAAAACTAACATGAACTAGTAGTCTAGTGGTAAAAAATAAAACAAATAAAAAACAAAAATGATCAGAAGACAACTTTTTTAAATCGGTGACCAAAATAAGACATAGAAAAATAAAAGAGATCACCATTATAATATATCCTTTTGGATTTGAAATGATCTTTATTATAATTTAGTGAGATATGAGACTGTTATCCTCTCTTCTTTTAGATGTTACCCTTGCGTTGTAAACACAACGCCTTCTATATATACCACACTACCTATATCATGATGTATATATATATAACGATGTATTAACAAATTAAGGGTTTAGAGTTAAAAAAAGTAAATTAAATCGACTAAAATTAATAAAATTTTATTAAATTTTAAAGTAAATTACCAACTAGCATTGAATTTTTTTTTAGTGAGAAAATAGAAAAATTAAATGAAAGAAGAAGAGGGGCAGGAGAATTCTATCCGGGAGGCTCTAATTGGATGACGAGAAAGCCTGAACTTGCAACTTGTCCCATTAACAGTAAGGGCTTCATATTGTCCATTGACCCTTAATATCCTGCGAATCTGGTGTCTTTGATTTTGCAATCTTATTCTGGATCTTCTTTCAAAATCCTATGTTGTGATGATGTCTATATTTGTCTTTGTACAATGACAGTCTCCCAATGTTTGGCTTAAGTTTCACTGCTTGACAACTATCTTGAACAATTTCATTAGTAGTTTCCAGACAGAAACAGCTAGGAAAACTAGATTAGACATGCCTATATTCCCAATACTAATCATTTTTTAAGGTAAAAATGATTACATATATGTTGCATAACATGAAGCAGTTGTAACGCAATTTCAAGCATAATAACCATTGAACAAAACTATACTGCTAAGACAATGATTAAAAGCTTTGAAATCTAACAATAACAGTGACGATGATGCTTGGTTTTGGGAGGAAAATAACTGGTTCAATTTGATTGAATCAAGTCACATTCAAGCACTGATTTGGTTAACCTACTAAGCAACTGTGGGACTGTAGGAAGGAGCCATTTTCAAAGGGTGGTTGGACCTTGTCTGGTTCATGGGTCGAGTCATAGTCAGATATGTCAAGCTCAGCCTCGTGGTTAAGTCATTGTTTTATAAGTTAGGAGAAATGCTTGGTTTCTTCTTCTTCTTATTCTTCCTTTTTAGTTCGAACTTTTAAAGCCAAGCAAGATATTATGAGTGAATATATCAAAGAATTTACTTTCAAAGTGGATGAAGTTAGCATATTCTGTTTTTGATGTTCTTGCTCCTTGACTTTGTGAAGCAATCAATATCGTATAACAAAAGACAACATAATGTCCATGTTTAAGGATTAGATTCGTAGATTCATTTAGAGATTTTATGTTCGAACAGTAACGTAAAATTCATGTTTATGTACTTTTAATATGTCGTTATTCATATAAAGGTATACGTAGGTTTAAATTTTCATACACATGTTTCAACTCGATTGGTTCCTGTCTGCAACAAAAGTCAACGAAGTTGAAATTTTGATTGCGGACCATAACTTAGATGTTGGGTAGGAAAATTTCTATGTAATTAAAGAAACATCTAAAACTAGAAGCTGGCTCGCAATATTTGCAGCCTCTTACAATATTCATGACTCTCATCTCACATCCCAAAATCTAAATATCAATGGTAGTTATAGCCATCATTAGCATCACGTTGCATGAAAAGAAGCAATTTAGAAGACGTGCCAAAGATAAAGTGGAACATTAATATAATG